TGAACTACCGAGGGAATGCAAGACAGCAAGAAGTTTAACAACATTCAAAAACTTATGCAGCAACTACTTCAGTTAGGTTAATAGGTACATCGGTAGTGTAATAGTAGCATATACTCTGAAAAGCATTAGCATTAGATTACTTGTGCTATTATTCTTGTATTGTATAAAAAAAAATAAAAAAAAAATAAAAGCCGTGCCTTCCGCTTAGCCCCTTCCATTAGATTTTGCACAGTGGTCTTATCGACCTTATTCGCCGCCGAACGCCAGTTAAATTTAAACTGCTGCTCGATTTCCATGGATTTATTAGTTTTTTGAGATTCCATTTGACCAAGGCCCAATACCGTTCAATAGGGCGGAGTTCTGAGCTGTTGGGAGGGTTGTGGTCTTTGGGTACCACAACCACGTTGTTCGCATCGTACCACTCGATTGCCTTTTTTTCCCATAGTGGCAGCTTGCCAAGTCCGGCCAGAACAGCAGAGGTCTAGTATGTTGCTTTAGGCATGGTAGCAGCCGCGCTTCCAGGCACTCCTGGTCGTAGATCTCTTGATTGATGGTTCCCGTAGTAATGGAAATGCCGCTTTTTAGATCACACGTGCATATGGCCTGCCAGACGAGATATTTTTTCGGGAACTTTGATAGTTGGATGGTTTTGAAAATTTCAGCCACCTTCCCTTTTCCTGATGCTGTATAAAACTCCTGTCCCGGAAGCTGCTTGAAATCCGCCTTCACATAAGTTTCGTCGTCCATCACGACACAGTCGAACTTTGTGAGCAGATTCGTATACAGCTTTCGGGACCGCTACTTTGCCGACGTGTTTTATTTGTAATATCGGTTCGCCATCTTCACCTTCCTAAACGTCGACAACCCGGCTCGTTTCTTGGCCCGTTGCACAGTAGTATGGGAGACATTGAGCTTGTCAGCGACGTCCCGGATGGAGAGATTAGGATTCCGCTTATATCTCACCGCCACCTTCTTCGTCGTCGCTGCCACGTCCGGATTACAATTGCCGCCGCTTCCAGGCTTCTTGGCGGTCGACATACGCTCCCCGAACACGCGCTCCAGGTTTTATCTTTTGGGACTATTTTCCTCAATTACATACTTCTAATTAATTATCAATGATTTAAAAAGGATTGTTCAAAAATGATTTATTTGACATGAATACAGTATTCGATCATAACAGTAAAATAATAACATAGAGGTAACTCTAAGACCATAAGGTCCCGAAGAAACGTGCTCAACTTTTTGGCTCAGCTCTGGTACTATCTTCGGTCCCAAGCTAATCGTTGCCCCCTCGAAACATAAGGAAACCCATGAACCCCTCATTTTATCTGTCATACTTTCATAGCGAATCAAAACAAACATAGTGTAGTACTAGAATTTTGACTAGAATGGGGTACGTTAATCGATTTGCTTGGGACCAATAGGCTAGTCAAGTAGTGAGCCAATTTAAAATCGTTAGTTTCGAATTGATTGTTGATAATAACATGTCTACTTTGTAACTTGGAAAACTGGGAATCTGCATGTTAGTTTATTTTTCCTGAAAAACCAGGAATGCTCAGGGAATATTCAAATTCTCCTACCTACTTTGACAATTTATAATACAATAAATTTATTTTTCACGTTGTTTTATTTAATTCATTGAACTTCATAAATCCAGACCAGATTTATCTACAGAATCAAATAAATTTTAAAAATCAGGGGCTCAATTTTTTGACGAAGGACTTTGTCTTTGTGGACTATAGTAACGAAATAGTGATAGGTTTTAAACGCTTATATCTCAGCCATTAATTGATGGAATTAAATTCTTGTTAAACCTTTCGATTCAGAATTGATGTAAGATTCGTTTGGTTTAAATATTATAGTAATATTGATTAAACGTTTAGGCCTAAAGTCACTTTTTCACTATTAAAAGAGAGAAATTTAAAAATATCAACAAAATGTTTAAATTGGGTACTTGGCACTAAGAAAGTCTACAGTAGTTTCAACAAAGTATACATATCTGTTAAAAAAATAAAAATTTTAACCAAGGTGACAAGTGATCCGCAAAACTTTGGAACACACTATTGGGAAATGCCTTCAATTTCGATTAAAACTCGGGGAAAATATACCTCCTTTCCCAGAAAATAAATTTTAAACCTTGGAAACTCTCCAAAGGTATTTGTCTGTGATAGATTTTCAAACATCTTTCAAGGATGATTGAGAACTTTAAAAAACCCAAAGTAGATTTAAGAGAATTTTAAAGGATTCTAGGGATGACACCAAGATATATATCAGAGAAGAATACCAAAGTACGTACTACGAAGTCTTATGTAAAATGAAGTGCTCTGAGGACCAATTTCTTTTAATATCTTAAGCCAGGTTTACCTGCATAGTTAAACTTGGCTTAACAAATACGAGCGTCGCTTTTGATTATTGTTTAAATTATAAGAGACAAAATTCAGCTCCGATACAATTTTGGAAATAATTCCAATAAAATTGAGAGTGAATTTTAACTAGAGTTCTAAGAAGAATAGTTCGATGAGGATTCTAGGTCCAATTCTAATAATAATTCAAAATAAGTTCTGGAATTTTGCTTGAGGGAGCTTTGATGAAAATCCCGTGAACTCCAAAGATGGTCTCTGCGGATAGTTCTAGAAGAAATCTTGGGTGATTTCTGAAGATACTTCCAAGAGAATTCTTAAGAGTTCGAAATAAATTCCGAGAAGAATTCCAATGAAATCTAATTTTGAGGGTTCAATCTCAAAGGAATTCTGAGAAGATTTTCAAAGTTATCCTGTGATGGATTTTTGTTTTGAGAATTCTGAGGAACTACGTTGGGATATCTAAGGAGAATACGAATTGAATTCCCAATTGAATGCAGGGGAGCAGTCCAAGATCATTCTTAGCAGAAATTCATGAAAATTCTGAGGTCAATTGCATGGAAATTCTAAGGAGAATTCAAATAAATTTAAAATGGATTTATGTAAGGAGCCTTCAGGGAGTTACTAGAAGAATCAATAAAAAAAAAACGAAAATACTCTACTTTAACTAATCATGTGTTATTACTTCATGCGTGAATTTAACGACTCAAAGTGGAGATTTTATACGATAGATGAAGAGATTTAATTATAGAGTTGATAGTTCCGTTATAGTACGGCAGTGTGAAAATTGTATATACAAAGTAGAAAGCGAGCAAAGGACAATTTTGAGGAAGGTACGAATCGGGTAGTTGTTTACATCAGATGGTGACTTGAGAGTAAAACAATCGATAGAACTGTTTCCGCACATCGGAGATACATGAGCTAATCGGCGATCATCCCTTTTGCCAGTGGGGCAGGGGGAAACACCCCTTATCATCCCTCATTAACGGATGAGCTTGGTAAAGGAGATGCTCTACCCGATTCGTACCTTCCTCAAACTTGTCCTTTGTTCGCTTTCTACCTTCTGTATACAATTTTCACACTGCCGTACTATAACGGAACTATCAACTCTTTACTTTCATCTCCTCATCTATCGTATAAAATGTCCACTTTAATTCTGATATTTGATGTTGAGCATTTCCAATTACGAATATAATCTATTTCCAAGAATTTCGTTGATTGTTCTGCAGATAATTTCCAAAATGGAATGTAACGTTTGTAAAAGCTTAAGAGTTTAAGAGAAGGGGAATTATTCTAAAAAAGTTCTTGAGATCATTTGGAAGAAATTCTGTGAAAAGTTCTTAGTGAATTATCAAAGTTATCTACCTAGATATGTATATCAAAATTCTAAAGATTTCGAACACAGAATCAAATTTAAGATCATAAAAAAATGGGAATTACTATTTACTAGTCATCATGTACAACGTAAGCAAAAGTAAATAATTCAAATCACTTCAAACGCACTTCACAGGAGATTCCGTTGTGAAATTCGATTAAATTAGAGAAATTTATGGAATTTTATTCCATGACATAAAATGTTTTATTTCAATATCAAACCATACTTGAATTTTTAAGTTACCATATAAATGGTTACTTATTCAGCATTTACAAGTCACTATTTGGTCACTATATCCGTAATTCTAGTCACTAAAGTCACATCTATTATATCGCATCAGCACTACCAGCCCTGCTATAATAAAAAAAAAAAATCAGCTGCACTCTAGACATTTTAGAAAACCTAATAAACCAAACCCATTGTATCACAGGGCTTCACGAAGGTCTACTCATTCTATCATTAAGTCAAATCATCGTATGCCTTGTTGAGTCTGCAGAATTTCCGGATAAGACATCGGGGATGACTTGGATAGTCCAACAATGTTATTTTTAATCTCAATTAAACATTTTAAATTATGTTATGAATCTCAGTGATGCACAAAATGCTCAAAAATTCTGAGTGGGCATCGAACAAGATTTCGATTAACCTGTAAAATATCTCCAGGAAAATTTGAAGTATGATAAGTATTTTGGTTACATATCTTGGTATTCCACAAAATGTTGCAAGGTTTATAGAGATACAAGATCTAAACTCCAGCAAGGTTTGAATAACTTTTGATACTGCGTTTCTCCTGCTCAGGTTTCTTGTATTGATATATGCTTTTTCCGACATACCAAAACAACATTTAGGGGCTTATTACGGATGTCACATCACGGTGAAAAGTTGTCACTTGTCGTCACGGTGAAGTGATTCCCATTTGATTTGTACGCTAATCACGGCTCTTATTCTGAGTATCACTTGCCTATCACCGTGTAGTGACACCCGTAATAAGGCCCTTAGGCTCATTTTTTGCAGTGAGACTCTTTGTTTTTATACGAATTATTGATTCCAAGAGATTTTAGAGATCTAGATCATCGACATGTTAATGTAAATCTCATTTCATATTTTTGCACAAGGTAGACGTATTTTAGAGCAATTCTGCTCAACAAATTATATGATTATTATTCCTTTAATTATTTCTGCATTAAAGTTTTTAAGCAATTTTTTTATTCATTAGGAAAAAAAACGTCAAAATTGCGTGCAGAAATTGTTTGTTTCCCTTGTCTTCATTTCTTCTTCTGACTTCTTTTCTTGCCCTTTTTGCCTTTTCTGCCCTTTTTCCGACTTTTGCGTTTCTCTAGAACCTTACGCCATGCTCTCTGCAGTACCCGAGCTGCATGCGCAATCCGGAACTGGTCAACCTGGGCCATCATTTGCTCGGATTTCATCAACTCAACTCCGACCATCAACTGTTTCAACTTGTCCTTCTGTGGATGGTAGACCGCGTTCTTCCATTCTGCAAATCGTTTTGTTTCTTCTTCGATAGGCTTTAGTTCCTTCATCGGATCCCCTACAAACTTGTCGTACTGTTTGATCCACTGCTGCAGCTGAACGGTTAGTTTGATGATCCTTCGGCGTTTTTGATCGCGTTCCCTCAACAAATCACGGTACTCTTCGATTTGCTCCAGACCGAGAACTTTTTTAGATGCTTCCTCTTGAAGTTCCGCAAACCGTTCGTCTTCGGATTGCTTGACAGCAGACAGCTTCAGTTCGGACTTTTCAGTGATGTCTTCTATTTCCCGGGAGCTTCGGTCCTTCAACGTAAACAGCTCCAATTTAGTTTCGTCAATTTCGCTCTGCATTGCATGAATTTTCTTTGTCAGATTGCGAATCCTTGCCCTGCTGGCCAGAATATCCGTAATCCATTGTAGTGACTCATCCATAGTTTTCTTGCGTTTGTTGAGCTGTAGAGCTTGTTTTCCATTTGGCAGCATGCCCCGGATATTTTGCACCGCTTTCAATATGTGTTTGTATCTTAAAAGAATCTTTTAAAGAAACAAAATTATATTCTGCTTGGCGAAGCTTAATAATGCTGTGACATACCGTATAGCGGGAACATTGCAGGTTCGTGTGAATATGATTCAAACGATCAACCATAACATCTTCATTCGATTTCACAGATGCAGACAATTCCAAATAAATCTTCTCCCGCTCGTGGTTATTGGGTAAATTTCGAAAACCAACCATCACACGGAAAAACAACTTCAAATTTTCATCCAGCTCATCAACAATACGGTCGACCCAAGTCTTACGCAGCAGAAAGTCCTCATTTTGCCTGCTTGTTGGATCTTCTCTGCCAATGACATCATCAATGTCCATCGATTCGCCCATTTGGAGTTGTCTTCAACAGTTTGAACTAGAACTGTTTGTCCAAGATTTTTGAAAGCCAACACCCAAAGCCTACTGCTGCTAGATGGATGGATCAAAGGTGGCACACATCGAAGTTAGTTTGTTTACAAAAATTAACTATGAGCATTTCGTTTGGCAAGTTTTTTTATTAGAAATACTCATCGCGATTATTCGCGAAAATCACAGCAAAGAATGATCACTTGCGTAGAAAATCAATTTGGCAAGGCATTTATGATCGGCAGGCACCTTCTCATATGGCAAAATAGTGAACTTTTCATGAACATCAACGGTAAATAACTCACCAACACTATAGCGGACTGTGACAACCTTTACCCCGTTAATAATACGGCAAAAAAAAATCAATTTTCCCAGCTACAACTTTGATAAAGAGCACGTTTCGATAAAATGTAAGGAACAAAGGTTATCAAATTTTTTTCCTTTGATTTGTTTTTCGTACTGAGAACCAATGCTACCGACGCCAGGGAAGCAGCTCCCACACCTGAACCCTTCCTATCGACCCATCAACTCATGGAACGGGGACCAACGGCTTTACCCAAGTAACCAAGAGTTCTGATAAAAGGCTATTTGTGGCTTAGGCAGCTTGGTTGAAGGTGGTCTAAATAAATCTAAGCAGCCGCATTTTTAAGTCGTTATAAGAACTTGAAAGTTCCGGTACGATAATTGAAGAGCATTCTAAGCTGCTTCTGGTGGAATTTGAACGGAACTGTTTGAAAATAAGTAAAAAATAAGGTTTTGTCCTCTACACCGATTCTATAGTTAGTTCGCACTTTTATGAAAGATTATTCTAAAGTCAGGTCTTCATGAAAGTTATTTCTTAAAGCAGGTATAAACCAGGGACATCCCACTCTAAACTATAGCTCTAGTATCAATTAAGTATTTCCAAGTATCTGATAAGTATTTTTAAGTATTTTTAGGTATTTTAAGATTTGGATTTTTTAATCGTAGTGACCGGTTACTAATGTAGTTGTTTGTTGTTGTATATTCCGTCAATGTATTACTTTTAATCACGTATTAAAGCATATTAATACTAGCTTCAATATGATTTATATTAAATAAAGTAGTGTGATCATGTTTATAAGTAAGTATTTTAATTCTAGTTATGAAATAGTTCATCAAAAACATTTTACTTTCAGCGAACCAGTTGGAGCAGGGATAGCGAATTATTTATGATTTCGAACTGGCTGTTTAGTACGATATTAAACTTTTGAATTATATTGCTTAGCTGGAGGTTAATGGTGCCGTTGTCGTCCGAACTTGTACACTACCGATCATAAGTTTAAGGACACCCCCAAAAAAACATGACAAATTTATTATGTTCATATCTCTGTCATGTTACGTCCAATTTTCGTTCTATTTAGATCATTTGAAAGGTATTCAATGGAACTTTCCTCGTAGTCAAATTGTTCAATATAATTTTCAAATTTTGTGTGCTAAAAGTTCACCCAAAGTTACAATATTTTTCAAAATTTACTCTGAAGAATCGTGACTGATTTTCTCAGAATTGGGTTGGCCAATTTTTGAAATAAAAGTAGTAGTAGAACACTTATGCTTTACCATTCATACCATTCAAACAACCTTTGGAGATCAAAAATTGAGCGTAAAATGAGAGATCATTGAACAAAACATATATGCATGGTTTTTTTTAGGGTGTCCTTAATCTTATGATCGGTAGTGTAACTAGATTTCAAACTGAACTACCAAAATAAAAGCGTATGTTGAATGTCAATTCGGCTAAGAACTACCGCAAGCTGCATGAATATGAAATTCTTGACATTAAGCCGGCCAAGGATGCTAGGACTACACTGGTTATTTGCCAGAGGCCAATGAAGCATAACTACCAGCAATTCGTTGCGCTGGTGGGCTCGAAGTTGAACTAATTGCAATTGCCACTGGTGGTCGTATCGTACCGCGTTTTGATAAATTTACATCGGTAAAGATGAGTTATGACGGACTGGTGAGGGAGTTGAGTGAGTATCCTGATAGCAACCGAAGGCTCCATGTGAAATCAACATGAATTTCTCACTTTTATCAGTAAGTAAGGATAAGAAAAATATTAATCTGTTCTGAAATTATAATTTAAAACAAACCATTGATACACCAAAAAAAAAAACGATTCGGTTCCAACACGTTACTTATTTGTACCAATTTCATGTAAAATAACCCTAAGTTAAAATGTATGAATTTATTTCAAACCATTCCCCAAACAGTCCAAATTAAAGTTTTAACACATAGCCGTTTCTGATGAATGATAGAATCAATTAGAGAACGGTTCTGAGATTAACATGGAGCGAATATGTTGGTTTGACCATGTCCAGCCTTATTACGGCTTAGATCTGATTTTGGGCCTAGTAAGCACAACCCTATCTTTAGAACGAAGTTTTTCACAAAGTGCAATGTTCTCACTGCAGATGCCTTCCAAATTGATTGAACTTTCCGTACGTATCGTAAGATTTGGTAAAGAGAAACACATTGTTGAGATATTGTTAAAAATCTAACACTGCTTCTTGACGCCAAACTCAGCCTTCGGATTCTAAACTCGGCCTAACGCATTGAAACGCCATTCAAACGCAATTGAATTCACTCCTTTGTTTTTTGAGAATAATGGGTGCAAACATTCATATTACACTTTCTTATTGACTTTGTTCGGTAGATTTGGAACAGAAGTATCGTACCAAACGCACAATTGACTTGTTAACGTCGTAATCATGGTTTGATTTGATGTTTTCTGCGATTAGGCCGAAGTAGCTCTCTACCCTAATAAGCCTTAAGCAGGAGAGCATCGAAGGTTCCAAATCCGAGGAAATGTGATTCTCTTCTTTTTCGGCGGTAATCTATAGGAGATGTGGCTTTGCGTAAGGTGCAGAAAGCTTTCATAACTTCTTATTCAGCTTCAATCAGCGTAAAGGCCTGAAGTTATCATCTAACGGTCAAGAACCTAATGGACGAAAAATCCATCTTTTTGGAGACATGCTTTTGGGATAGAAACATTTGCTCAGGGAATTTGCTTCCACACGCCGTTTCTTCCACAGTAACTTTCCAAATAGTTCTTTATTCTTCCTTTGAATGACATGTGAATCGGTTTGGCAATGTAATATTCCTTGAATCAAAATGGTCTCCTCCTCGATTCCTACAAAAAAGGAATAAATTAAAAAATAATACTTGATTTTTCTAAATACGCACACACAAATTCTCGGAAGACACCGGGTAAATAATCGAATGAAATCTGACTAGCAACGGAGGTAACAAACTAACGCTAAATATTTCTGAAGTATTTTTTAGTATTTGAAGGTATCTTAGATATCAGTAAGAACTTTCTGAGTATAATGCGAGAAATACAAAGTTTAGAGTGGGATGCCCCTAGGGTATAAACGTGTATGATTTGTTAGCATTAGTAGTAGTATTTGGTGAGCTGTTTGAAGAATTAAACCCAGTCCTACTGCGTGAGAGCTCCAGCACGAACCGCTACGTCATCTGAGATATATTGAAGTGAGCTGTTGTCCCGCCTACTATTGGAGTTTTCAGTGCCAGCTGACTGACTAGAATACGAAACACAACACCTTGATGAATTTTCAATAGGTGTTTGCCTACATTGTATTCCAACACACTTGTGGTGCGGTGGTTAGCCTTTGTAGATTGCATGCTGAATACAAGGGTTCGAATCTAGGGGCAGGTCAGCCGAGGGGGGCGACACATCTAAATCTCAAGTCTAGATGCTCAACCAATCTCACACTAGCGAATCAATCTTCGAAAAATCTTCTTTCATTTCTCGCATCTACTTGCATCGCTCATCATCTTTTTGCAGGAAATCTTCAGAATCGTCATCAATCTTCTTTTTATCTACTCAGCGTGCGTGCAGCTAGCCACAGCAAAAGCCAATCTTTTCTGCATCGTAGGTAGAGTCGCCCCCCTCGAGGTCAGCTATACTCTGAGCTAATATATTTACATTGAGTAACTGTGAGTTACTCGTATTTACTCAAAAAAATAACTAAGTAGCCTCATTTTTAATTTTTCTATACTGTCATATTTACAAACACACTAACGTCAGCCACTATGGACAGATTGTTTTAATTGCAAGTAAGTTATTTTTCTTTATAATAGCCTTGTTGATGAGTTGATGGTCCATCCAACTACAACTCTGTCATCATCACACAGTTATCGTCCAAGACACCACCTCGGTTGATCAAGACCCTCAAACTGATAAGACGATCATGAGCAGTACCAATGGACTACCTCCCTCCCACTACGTACTAGTGATGTCATTATAATTATGTAGTAACTGGAGCACCTAGGTTAAAATGAAACCGATTACAAAGGAGTGATGAGGATGACCAAACCAGATAAGTGATAAGAGCATTGATAATATCACCCGCTCTCACTAGCCGAAGAAAATCATCGCATCGACGGAGGTCTGAACTACCTAAAAAGGTCATGCGGGTTCAATGATCAGTCCACCTCAACCAGACCACTGTATTGCACGTCAGTTTAGTTTAAGTCAAATACAAATTAGTGATAAACTTAATAAACCTTTTATTGCATGTTTTGGTGTGATAAATAAAGGGCTATGTATTATTTAACCGTCGTGAGTACTTAGTTAGTTGATGCGAAACGAACACCTCCTATTGAATTGTCTGATTGAAGTGCCAATGAACGTTGTGGTTGGTCCATGCATATAGCACCCTTTGTTTGCCGTGAAGCTGGAAGGTAAAAGCCCACCCCCTTTCAAGCCTCTTGGTAAAATAATTTATTTCATGTATAGATACTGATGTAAGGTGAAAACGTTTGTCTATGTTCCAACATCGATCAAACGAAATTCATCAACTATAATATGGATTTAAAAAAATGATTATATCATTCGTTAGTAACGATAAGGATAGTGTTATAACTTATATTATCAATAAGTTGTAGTCTCATTCTTCCTAGATCATCAAGAACTATTCTTCTGTTTATTTTTGCTTTAAAAG